TCCAATGAATAATAAATCATGCTTCCCTGTGCCCCATTCATGAAAATTGTTTTAATTCTTGGTATATGATGACGAGTATTGTGGATAGGTTAGCCATGATTTGATGTTTGATTACTTGGATGTCTTAACATGAGTCAATTTTGCCCAACTACTTGTGAATATAGTGCTTGACTAGTTGATTTGGTTAGGAATGTGTGTTAGTTCCTGGTATGTCAATGAAGTTGAGTATTGGTTTATAACTTTGAGTAATGTTTGCATGACTCATTAATATGCACATTGAGGAGGACGAAGGCATTTGTTCCTCTAGGTGGCTTTCAGACGATATTAGATACATTTGTTCCCTTCTTGCTACCCATGTTGTTGCTTGTGCCCTTTTATTGTTTATTTTGCCACATTACAAGCCTATTTAAGCCCCATTGGTTACTAGTCCCAAGCTTGGCTTGGGGGAGCTAATAGTGAGTGAGGTGAGGGAGTTGTAGTGTGCATGTAATCTGCACAATTTTGGGTGGATTTGAGAAGTTTTTATTTGTTCTTATTGTTGTGGATTGAAAAAATTGAAAATTTATTGTGCAAAGAAAAAATTCCAATGTGAGATGAAAAAAAGGGAAAAGAAAGAGCAAAAGAAAAAAATTGTTTCAATGTTCAAGTGTTCTAATTGAAGGCTGCTCAAGAAAAAAAAGGAGAGTTCAAAGTTTGTTTGTTCACTCAAGTTCTATAATTTTATATTTTGTATATATGAGTGAAATTTTAAGTGTTGGAAATTTTTAATATAATTGGATGTTTGGTGAATTTTTGGTAGAGTTGAGTTGTGTTGGAGATGATTTGGTCATTAATTCATTTTGACCTTGGTTTTATTTATTAGGATTTTGGCTCCCTTAAGCATAGCTTTACTCTTACATTTTCCCAAATATTTCCTACCTTTTATCCTAGCCTTACATTACAAGCTTTGAAGACCTTCTGACCTTTGTGCATAGAGTTGTGTGAATGTGAAATTAGTTGTTTTCCAATGCAAAGAATGATTTGATATATTTCGAGTCGACTGCTAGGTTGAGTGCTTGTTTTCTTTAAACACACGAGTGCGTGAGTTTGGGAGGGCATTGTTCACATTTAAAGGAGTTGGATGGAGAGCGATCGAGTATATCTTTTACTCGCCACATAAATGAGAGTTGAGTGTGTGAACACTAGTCTTGAATTCTATATGCTCTTGTGGTTTGCTCTATTTGACTATTGTCAGACAGGATGAGTAGTCAGATGGATTTGATTGGTTGACTTTGATGCATAACTGTCGAGTTTACCTTTAATCGTATTTATTGATTTGAATTGCTTTTGGGGTGAAGTATTGATTTATTTATTCATTGCTTTGCTTAGGGACAAGCAAAGGTTTAGCTTGGGGGAATTTGATATACGTGTTTTATACAATGGTTTTCCCCGGTTTTACTTAGTAATTTTATATGGTTTTGAGCTCTACGGAGCCATTTCTTGCTAACAATCTCTTCTTTAGTGTATTCGATTGTTTTAGTAAGCTTTTCAGGAATATGAAGCGTTTCTAGGCAATTGGACGTGTTTTTAGTAGATTCGGAAGAGTTGATAGCCAAGAACTGCAATTTATGTGGAGTGCCCGACCGGGCATGGCTTGCCCGGGCAGACCGGGCAATGAAGAGTTCACAGGAAGAAGCCCAATTCTGAACGGTGCAACGCGCGCCCGATCGGGCAGGCTTCGCCCGGTCAGACCGGGCGATGAAGAAGTCAAGTTATGAAGATGCAATTCTGGAAACGTGTTACGCGCGCCCGACCGGGCGAGGCTCGCCCGGTCTGACCGGGCAAAGAAGGAAAACTGTCGTATTTTACGCAGCTTTCCTCCGCCCGATCGGGCGAGGTTTGCCCGGTCTGACCGGGCGATGTTCAAGATTGCGCGATTTCAGCTATTTCCGAATTTCTATCTTTTGAGGGTATAAATACCCTTTTGTAATTAACTTTTAAAGAGAGTTTTTCATTAGTTTTTCTCCTTAAGCCCTAGAAAACTCTCAAGAACCCTAGTTTTATTTCCTTTAAGCAATTTCAATCTTTTAATCCCAGATTAATCAATTGTTCATCAACAATTTGAGTTCTTTCAATTGGAGTAATTGGTATTTATCTTACTTCACTCTTTTCTGATATTCACTGTTCTCTAAATATGTTTTCTTTACTGTTTCTTGTTTTTGAACTTGATTTTGATTTTATTATGATGTGTGAGTAGTTTCCTTAATCCGGGATCTTGCTAAGCTCGATTATGATTGATGTATAAAGTAGATCTTTAAATTCCCCAATAATAATCCCAATTGACATGCTTAATTGATTGTGTTTATGCCAATACTAGATTAGGAATAATTAGTATTGTTATCATCCCTTTGTTCTTATTGCAACGGAAGTTGGGTATTAACGGGATTAGGTTATTCCAATTAAGGGTTTGAAGATCATCACGGAAGTAGATGATTGAATAATTAGGAATCTAGGCATGGTGTTTAATGTCCCTTATTCGCTTGATTCCACGGAAGTAGGCTTGATAGTTAATTTGGGAAGCCATTGATAACTTGGAAGAGACCTTTGGTATTATTATTAGGGATTGCTTTTCTTCTTGTCAATTGATTTATATATTGGGGGTAGATTTATTAGTTTATCAATCATAATCGTGGTAATGCTTGATCTTGGATGCTTTAGTTTATTGATTAATATTTCCTCTAGTTAATTGTGTTATTTAATATATTAGTTGATTATTATCATCCATTATTGATTGGTGACGTGCTTAGTGATTAATTGAGTCTGATTAATTGAATGAACCATAGTCTCTTGGGATTCGATCCTTACTTGCCCTACTACACAGTTAGAAGGAATAGTTAGGTTATTTTTGTTAGGTACGCGATAAGCCTATCAGCCCCGTCAAAGGGGTCCTTGGCCGAGTGTGGGAATGAGGCCGCGCAGCTGATGGTTGGCTTTGGGACACTGAATATGTCCTATGATCGGACTGACCCCTGCTAGACCGAGAGTGGCCCGGCCTATATTGAGAGTCATGAATTACGGGAGATAGGGAATCCTCCTTGTATGATCCTCCCTCCGAGCCGGCACCCTTGGGAGAGTTCCGGTCCGGCGAGGGCGATGGTGTAGGGGTTTTTGGCTTTTCGCCCGCTCCTTGACGGAGGCTTTTGCTCTTGCGGTTCTTAGCCATTGCTGCTAAGATAATTGCAAGATGATCTTGGTTAGGAATTTGGCTTAAAGATTTTTTGAAAGTCTTCCCCACAGACGGCGCCAAATTGTTTCGGGTGAAAACAATGGGACCTTGCCGAAGGTCCGCTGAGATGGAGAAGACTGGATTCGGTCCAAGTTATGTTGGGCCGAAGGTTTCCTGCACAGTAAACACACGTAAGCTAGCCTCGGGGGTGTTGCCGAGGAAGGCCCCTCCGATGCTAAAGTCAGTACAATGAGTAAGAAGAAGACACTATGCAAGAGAGTTTGTAGCTTGAGGCTTTTATGGAATATCTCAGAATGTATGAATGAACATGTGAATCTATGAATGAATCAGAATATATATATGAATGTGTATATATGATGACTTTTATACCTCATCATATATGGAGAGGTTGGGCCTTAGCCCAATTGGCTTGCTTTGTGGGCTGACCTTTGACTTTAGCACAATTGGAGAGTTGAACCTTGACCTTGGGCTTTTAATTGGATCATTTAGTGCTTAGGCCCAATTGGACTAAATTGGACCCAAACAAACACGTTAATTTTTTTTTTGGAAGGTAAGAAAAAAAAAGAAAGAATTAGGACCCCCTCCTTATGAGAGAGACACGTTAATTAAACATTATGAAATAATTAATGCCATGTAGTATACATACGCAATACGCATGCACTTGTAAAAACTGCTTCAATTGTAAAGTTTTTTCCCCCGCTTTCCAGTCAACACTTGGCTGTGTAAGTAGAACCTCATAGCGGAGGTTTCAAATTCTGATTCAACCCCAAACATCGACCTGAATCGGCCATGATTTGTATTCGACCCATACCCGAAGTATAGGGGAAGATAGTGTACGTGTATCGAAATAAATCTAATATTAACTGATAACCCGAATAGATCTGAGTTGAAAATGTTATCAAAGTTATCATAAATAGAAATAGCGGAATATTATACCTTCTTTTTTTTACAGCCTGAATTATATACTTTGTATTTGATCTATTTACTTCTTTTTGTATTTTACCCGATTCTAAGAATGACCTATCTTGACAAAAATTTGACCAAAGTCTAAGGGTATGTTTTGTTCAGCTTAATTAATTTCAGTTCACTTTGATCCAGTTCAGTTCCAATCTGTTCACTTCAATTCCTAATTTTCTTCTCTCATAAACAATTCATTTCAACTCTATTTAGTCCAGTTTCGTTCAGTTTAGTTCAATTTATCTCAGTCAGTGCAGTTTGGTTCAGTTCAATTGTTTTCAGTAAATCAGAACATGCCCTTAGAATGACCCGACTTGAAATTCATCCGACCAAAATTTACCTGCTTCTTACTTGTCTGTACACCGACTTGAAACAAACTGAACCCAAAACATTACCCGACCCAAAATTTACTTGAATCAAACTTTAACTGCAACCGAAAAGATATAAAGTCTGTCATAACCTGAATCAAACTTCACCTAATCCGACTTGAACCCGATTTGTAATTAAGAAAAGCCTACCTGAATTTAACCTGATTTACCCGACTTTGCGACTTAAAGAACCGATTTGACACCTCTAGAACCACGTAGATTAAAGTTAGAAATTATTCTACACCAAAAAAAAAAAAAAAATGTCAGAAATTATTTCTACCCAAAAAAAAAGTCAGAAATTAGTTGAACAACTTGATTGGCCCACAAAATAATGCTCTTAATTATTCGTCTTTTTTTTTGACACAAGCTCTTAATTATTAGATAATTATATAGATAATTAACTAATTATGTACAAGTACTTTCCAAGCATTATAAATAGCCATGCCAGTCTTCATTAGTTTTTGTAGGAGCCAACCTAGCAACCTTAAATAAATTCTTAATTATACAATTAATTACAACACATTCTAATTAGCAAAGTAATTATGGGATGTTATCAGGCAGAGGATGTTACATTTAGACCTCTTGCTCATTTTCCTCCGGATATTTGGGGTGAACACTTTGTCACTTTCACTCCAGAAGACAATATGGTAATTACTTATTCCAATTTATTATGCTTATAATTATATTTCAATTTTCTATACCCATATACTTTGTATATAATTGTAGAGATATTATTTTTACATGAAGTATGTTTTTTTCCGTGTACTTTAACATGAGGATATACAATATTTATGATAAGATGTTTTTGGCCTGGGTTCCTTTTTCTTATGCTATGCTAAAAATTCATAGTTGTTCAATTGATATATATTACTCCCTCCGTCTCTTAATTAGATGTCTACTTCTAGCATGTATTTATCACATAATAGAGAAAAGTAGGCATCTAATAAAGGGACGGAGGGAGTATATATGTTGATTAGAGCACACCTAGGATCGATTGGACTAGGTATATACACTAAAGTTTCTTGTGCACTTTTGATTCAAGAACACCATCATTAAATCCAACTCAAGTATAAGTCATACCATGACTAAATTTCACCTCATACTAGGACGTTACAAACTTACAACCAACCGCTGGTGTCCATTTTGATAATTTGCATGAATGAGTAATTCATAAATTAGATTTTTCTCATTTGTACCAATGAGCAAATTTACTTAAGTAAATTGCTACGTATTTGTCCAAAAGATATATGAGTAAAGAATAACAAATTAAAGGCAGTGATCATATAAACGAGATTCAATCTAAGTTCATGTGCGATACTTTTACATGACTTTACCAACTAATTAAGTTGAGCTAGTTAAAAGATGAAACTAGTTCAAAGAAAATGTCATAGTACGTTTAATTTTTTGAAGTATTTTATTAATATTTTGTGTTGTTTTTCATGGTATAGAAAATGGAAATATATGCAAAAGAGATTGAACCATTGAAGGAGGACTTGAGAAAGAAGCTATTCATTATGAATGATTCTGTTGATTTGGGGAGGAAGCTGAGTTTCATAGATGCAGTGGAACGTTTAGGAGTTTCCTATCACTTTGAGAGTGAAATCGAAGACATGTTGAACAAGATTTTCAAAGAATTTGCTGCAAATAATTTTGACATCGACTATGATTTATACAACACTGCATGCCAATTTCGCATATTTAGGCAACATGGACACAAAATGCCTTGTGGTAAGACACATACTTCTTTTGTTCTTTAATTTTCAGAACTACTAGAGTTTTTTAACGCTATTCACGTGTTTCTATATATGTGCCATGGGGACTTAATTAGTAGATTTGTATCGATATATATACTTTTAAAATATCAACTATTTACAGCAATTATTTCTCAAAAATTGAAAATATAAGTGGCTAAACTTGTACTCAAGTCTAGATGGTTGTAATGCTTGTAAAACACTAATTGTTATTATGATAAAATTAAAGAATGGTGGAAGTGCATATACGACGTATGTTATATATCTATAAAGTTTATTATACTTTTTAAAGTGTTTTTATATCTATCACTTTTAATAAACTCTCACATATTGCAGATGTATTCAACAAGTTCACTAATAGTGATGGCAAGTTTAAAGAGAGTCTAAGGAATGACATAAAGGCAATAGTGAGCTTGTATGAAGCTGCACACTTAAGGGTATATGGTGAACCTATCCTAGACGAAGCTTTCGCTTTCGCTACGGATGTCCTCCAATCAAGTGCACCATATTCCGAGCTAGCTCGTCATGCATTGAAGCAAGTATTGCACTTTGGCATTCAAAGGGTGGAGAGTCGCCTTTTCATTTCTTTCTACGAGGAAGATGAAACACGACATGAAACGCTTTTGAAGCTAGCAAAGATTGATTTCAATAGGGTGCAACTATTGTATCGTAAAGAATTGAGCCAAGTCTTAAGGTCAGTTCATCTATTTTAACTTAACCTACCACAAGGGGCACAATATAAAAACTCGTACACGTGCTTGTGTGTATTAATTAAAGCAAACAAAAACTAAAGAATATAGATAACATGACAATTTTAAAGGGACGGAGGAAGTATATGATAGTTTTAAGTGGTTTAATAATTTCACGTCTTAATCCACAGGTGGTGGCACGTGTTGGATTTTAAAACAAAGCTTCCTTATGCGAGACAAAGAAGTGTGGAATGCCATTTTTGGTCAATAGCAATGTACTATGAACCTCAACATTCTCATGCTAGAATGTTACTTGTTAAAGTTCTCCTTGTCATTTCAATATTGGATGATACTTATGATGCTTATGGAACATTTGAAGAACTTGAGCTCCTAACAGAAGCATTTGAAAGGTATAAATTACACAAAACTACGGTTACGAAGTATGTATCAATAATGTACTCACTTTTTCCTGGTTTAGTCACTTAAGTTTGTCGATTTTATGCAAAATAAATGACTTTTTATTTTATTGCATTATTATTAATTGGCAGTGAGTTTTTTTTTATATATATATATATATATATATATATATATATATATATATATATATATATATATATATATATATATATATATATATATATATATATATAGTGGGACATGGGTTGTTAAAACAAAGGTATGACTCGTATGATTTTTTTTTTATATATAAATAGTTAGTGAGATTTATAGAATTTTTTTTGTTAAATTAGTGAGAAAATTATTGAGTTCTTTCTTTCCATATATATATATATATATATATATAAATAGTAAATTAATGTAGGGCGAAATGAGAATAAAATATTTAAAAAAAAGTTTAAGTTTCACATATGCTAAATGAATAATGATACAGGTGGGACTTGAACGCAATGGAGCAGTTTCCTAAAGAGTACATGAAATTAGTTTTTCAATTTGTATACAACATTTATAATGGGTTTGCTAAAGAAATGACAGAGCTTGGGAAACCATATGCAGCTAAGTTCGCTAAAGACCGGGTGAGTCTTTAATTTGTAACTTCCTTTGATTTATTGTGCTCCTCAATCGGTCCATTTAATAAGGTCACATATATATGTATAATAATTCTCACTTAATTGTGGAGAAATAGAGTTAATAATATACGAATTCTATAAATTCTCCACTATTTACAATTTTATATATATCTTTGAGAAACTATTACGAATTGTGGTTTTGGCGCGGGCTTATATGTCTTAATAGGTTTATCGTTAAGATAAAAAGACGTAAAAAATAGTGGGATATATATAATATGTAGGCAGAATAAGCAATTGTATGGTTTGTTTTCCTAATTAGGCGTTCCTATAAACTTTGATGTATTTAGGTAATGGATTTGATAAGAAGCTATTACACTGAAGCGAAGTGGTACAAAGCAAAATATGTGCCTACATTTGAAGAATATATGGTGAATGCAAGAATCACAGGGGTTGCTCAAATTCTTACTACTTCATCCTTGTTGGGAATGGAAGAAATTATGGAAGTGAAACCATTTAAGCAGATAATACAAGCCCCTAACAAGGCCATTAGAGCTTGTGAAATTATTGGACGCATCATGGATGATGTTGTTAGTCATGAAGTACGTTACTACGTTGTGTCACAATAATTGTTCTTTTTTTTTTGTTACAATGTTCCACATGTGTCAGCATGACCAATTTAAAAAGTGCGCACATAACATGGGACAAAGGATTCTGGCTGGTCGTTCTGATTAATCTTTATATATACAAATCCTACAATGCGACATAAAACTAACTAAATTAATTCGATGCATGCTTCTAACCAAATAACACATCTCATATTATATAATAGGAGGAGCAAGCTAGAGGCCATGTTGCCTCGGGCGTGGAATGCTATATGAAAGACTATAACATGAGTAGAGAAGAAGTGGTGCAAATTTTTAACAAAATGGTTGAAGATGCATGGAAGGAATTGAATGAGGAATTTCTGATCAAGTCTAGGCCAGGAGACGACGACCTTCCAAAGGCAGTGCTCAAACGAGTCCTCAACCTTGCTCGAGTGGTGGATGCCTTGTACAAGGTCATTGATGGGTACACTTACTCGGCCAAACTGATTAAGGGCGACATAATCTCAACTTATACTCAGCCTATTCCTCTTTAAATAAGTTGAATTGGGTCGCCAAATAAAATTTGTACTACTATTTCTAGTAAAGATTCTAGACTTAAATGTCTGATATATATTGTACGGTGATGTTGTTGTTGACGTTGGTACTTGTGTGATGTTATTGTGTGGAGCTTAATGTTTGAGTATACACACGAAAGTGTGCGTTGTTTATTTGTAATTTGTTCATGTATTACTGAATATTACCATTTTCCATTTACTCGTATATAACATGTCTCCTAACTCCTATAAATTAAGCATGAAACTTTGGAATTTTTTTTTTTTTTTTTTTTTTTTTTTTTTTTTTTTTTTGACGAAATGAAACTTTGGATAATGATATCCTTGATTATAAACTAAGCATGAAACTTTGGATTTTGATATACTTAGGCCTGTTCTCTTACGTTGAAATTCAGTTCAGTTCAGTTCCGTTCAGTTCAGCTAAGCTCAGTTCAGTTCAGCTCAGTTCAGTTCAGTTCAGTTCAGCTAAGTTCAGTCAATGAGAACATACCCTTAATTATAACATGTCTCCTATAATAATTTCTTGTATTTTATATGAACACGTTTTAAAATTGGGGAATTATCAATGATAGCCCTTTGTATTTGCTTATTTGAATTGGTAGATAATTTTTTATTTCGATTATCCTTGGTAATGATATAATTTTTAAAGTTCTAACCGTAACAAACTACTCAACTAAGGTTAACTATTTTAATTTCTTTTTTTCTTCTTATTTTTTGACAAGAGTGGTTTATTTATTTTCAATTGTGAATTCTTGTAATATGTAAGACACAACCGGTCCCATTAAGAATCCATAATTAGATGGTATTGTATAAAGATATTAGAGTCGGTTTGGTGTATTTATGTTATGTTTGTATATTTGGCAAGTTTATCTTGTTAGGACTTTTAGGCAAGTCGGGTTATGTTTTGTATTAATTAGGCTCCAAGCCCAGTGAATTGTTTGTCAAAAACAAGAAATATAAAACGGATGATTGCATAGTTTCCTTCTCCTGTTACTTCTCCATTTGAAGCGCACTTCACGTTAAGTTCTCCATTGAAGCGCACTGGTATCCGCCATTGAAGCAGCTTCTGAGGTAAGTTGTCGTCTCTTTTTGTAATAATCATATCAATTTCACAATCTAGGGTTAATTTAATTTAATTTAATTTAATTGTCAGTGCAATTAGTTTATTAGGGTTCGAAAATCTCAACTTTTGCCTCTGAATTCTAATATTATGAAAATAAATTTGTGAGCCTAATGTGATAATCAAATCAAATATCCCTAAAATAATTTATGTGATTTTTCGAGCCTAATTTGACAATTGAATCAAAATTAGTTGCTAATCTATTGCACAACCCTTTAATGTTTAATTACTTATAAATTTAAGTATTCAATTGATAGGCTTTGTTCAATTAGAGTTGGATTACTTGGATGATTGGATTGAAGTGAATTATTCGATCAAGGTTACTTGGAATTTGTGGGATAATTAATTTATAATTGCTGATTTATTATTGGATACTTGGATAATTGATTAATTTGTTATTGTTTACTTGTTTTGATGGATTAAATTGTAAGTATTACCTCCTATATATATTATTCGCAATGACATAAAGTAGAGAGAAAAAATGTCTAATCATTGGAAATAATATGTAACGGAGGTAGTATATAACTTCGTTAGTTCACATTGGATATTTTTTTTGGTATTTCTCGCAGTTCACCCTTTAGACTAATCCAGATTCGTGGATCAGTTATGGATGGTTAGGTTTCAGTCCCTCCCGATTGTTGTTGCGGGAATCGAACACGATTATGTGAAATTGCCATTTCTTTCAATGTTATTGTAATAGTAAATGTATTTATAATGTACTCACTAGTGTCGTTGATGATGAAATAAAATAAGCACTAATTAGGGATTTAGGGTACGGTTTGGTATAATTGTAGTTTTTATTTTTGTTTTTTAAAATAATGGAGTATAATATGTCATGAAATTGAAAAAAAAACGATATCTAATTATCTAACAAGCCCTTAAACATGTTTGTTTGTGTTAATTGGATTAGACTGCTGCAAACTTGTAAAGTTTATAATACTTTGTATAAACATTTTTTCAGTGTTTTGTAATTTTTCTATGTTGTGGTCGGTGTTGAAGAAGATAGAACACGAAAAATGGAACTCAACAACAACAACAACAATAGCAGCAACAACCGCAGCAAAATGGAACTTTTTGTATTCATATTCTTCCTTTTGATTGTTTTAATGTTTGTTTTAATGTTTATTTTCGTTGGCCGTATCAACAATCGTAATTCTGTTCCAGAGTTTGAGGTTGATTCTCTTTCCATGAAAGTATATAATAATACTGAGAAACTTGCAACAGCTGATTTGAACTTTACTGTCACATTAAAGAACAAGGATGAAGGCTTATTGTCTTTTAATGAAATGCAAGTGTCATTAGAGTATCACCAAAATGATGAGATTATTTCATCGACGACACTTGATGCTTTTCTTCAAGATGATAAACAACGCCAGATTCAATTTGGAATGCTCATCAGTGCACAATACCTTCGAAACGAGACCATGGATTCGATCTATCGAGATAATGTTTTACGGTTTGGTTTACAAGCTCAGGGTCACTATGTACGTCCTCGTGATCACTATTTTGACAAGTGCGAGATTAAGCTTGAGTGTGATGATATCGGAGTTGGGTTTTCGCCCGAAAATAATAATTCGACCATCACCGGGAGTTTGATTGTCAGTCCTCTCCCTTGCAAATGCAAATCTGAATGTAATAAGAAAAGGTACTACAGAATAGCTTTCATTCTCGTTTGCTATTTTAAGTTCTTGGCAATGTTTGTAGTGGTCTGTTTAGGAAATTCTCGACTAATCTTTACTTTAGTTTGGCTAATCTTCGGCTGTAGAGTGTAGAGTATTCTTTGTGGCTTTTAGAGTCTGTTTAATTCAGCTTAATTTCAGTTTAGTTCAGGTAAGAGAAATGATTTAAATATTGTATAAGATTTCAAATAAGTTGCGACGCTTTTTTCCGTCGGAAATTATACTGTTCCGACAGAAAATTCCGTCGCAAATTATATATTTCCGCCGGAATTTTCCGTCGCAAATTATAAATTCCAACAGAAACTTCCGTCGTAAATTATAGTTTGCGACGCTTTTTTCCGTCGGAAATTATACTGTTCCGACAGAAAATTCCGTCGCAAATTATATATTTCCGACGGAATTTTCCGTCGCAAATTATAAATTCCAAAAGAAACTTCCGTCGTAAATTATAGTTTGCGACGCTTTTTTCCGTCGGAATTTTTAGTTCCAGCCCGAAAGAAATTTCTGTAAAAATATGCATTTTCAAACCTGAATTTTTTTTATGATAAATCGACATAAAAAAAAGCATTTCAAAACCTGAAATTGTTGTTTTAAAAAAAATTAATTACCGACCTACGAAATTATATTTATTTACATATATATATATAATAATTATGTCCTAGTACAAAAGATAGTCCACATTTTGGTATCTATACCAAACAAAAGCTAGGTTAGAGTGATTCTATGCTAGACTAAAGCTAAGCTACGCAATCGCCTGGAAACCCTGGCCTGCTCCACCACTACCCGGGTCGTCCCTTGGGTCTCGATGCTGAGGATGAATGGTGGAACATGAGTCTTTGTTGGTGAAACGACTCATCATCTCATCCATACTCTCCTTGTATCTCCTCTCCATTTCAGCCATTCGGGAGTCAATTCGCCTTTCCATCTTGGCTTCCATTTGAGTTTGGAGAGCTTGCACCCTGTGTTCCATCTGGTCTTGCATTTGAGAAATGACAGACGGCGTGTATTGCTGTGAAGAACTGGAAGCTCGACCCATCCGTTTTCCATAGTAGAGCTCTGCACTTTGGCCAAGTCCCTTCACACGCCCCTTCTTATTGCGCCCACCCACCGTCTCCCAGTACAACTCAGTGGGACTCTTCTGAATCCCCTGACTCCTTGTTTCTTCGAGCTTCTTCTGGTAGGTCTCCTACAAAATATTGAAGATAATAAAAAAATATTGTTAAAAAAACAACCAACAATATAATGTAAGTTTTCTTTTTTCTAACATTCCAATATCACATACTTTTAGGTGCCTAAGGATAGAAATAAAGAAAAATAAGCACATAAGTCAATTTTCAACCCTAACTCATCCAAAATCATTCAAATTTGGCCTATATGGCTAAAACCATGCCTATTTTCTATGTTTTCAAGCAAATGTAAAGTTTCTTTCTTCTAACATTCCACTATCAAATGCTTTTAGGTGCCTAAGGATAGAAATTAGGATAAATAAGCACATATGTCAAATATTGACCCTAACTCATCCAAAATCATCCAAATTTGGCCTATATGGCTAAAACCATGCGTATTTTCTATGTTTTCAATCAAACGGACTCGTTCTTTCTTCTAACATTCCAATATCAATTTCTTTTAGGTGCCTAAGGGTAGAAATTAAGAGAAATAAGAACATATGTCAAATATCGACCCTAACTCATCCAAAATCATCCAAATTTGGCCTATATGGCTAAAACCATGCCTATTTTCTATGTTTTCAATCAAATGGAAGGTTTCTTTCTTCTAACATTCCAATATCACATACTTTTAGGTGCCTAAGGATAGAAATAAATAAAAATAAGCACATAAGTCAATTTTCGACCCTAACTCATCCAAAATCATCCAAATAAGCATATAATGAGTTCTACTTTGCTAATTTGCCATATATCAACTCATATAATAAGTTTTTACCGCAATCCTTTTTGCTTTGGTGTTGGAAGCCACTTGGCCTTTTCCAGGCACTTCCTTGAAGTGTGTCTTCAAGAAAAGATCATGGGCATTTGGTAATTGGCCTTGGTTTTGTGCAACCTTTATATATACATGCAGAAAATCAATGAAAACATGTTAGCCCACCAAAATTCATTAATAGACAAATGACTTAATTGTTACTGGACATATTTTAGGAACCTTACCATCCTTTTAGCATGTTGTACAGCTGACATTGAACCTTGAAAGTGGGTCGGTTCAACGACATTTTCCATGGATCCGCCTCTTCGGTTCTTCTTGTTTTGTTCCGACCGCTTCTTATAATCTGGATCGGTGGCAACAATTTGCATCATGCGTTCGTGGACATCCTTAT